TCATGCTCCAAGGAGCCATTATCACTTGTGGTGCCCACAGTGAGCTTAAATGGAGGGGACTCTGTAGTATGTGCTACTGTTTTCTAGGGTTTATGTAAGCATTAACACAGCTCTGGCTAACTGACAAAGAACTGTAGACTTGCAAACCCGGAGAGACTGGAGCATCACTGGAACATGTGTTTTGCCCCTAGAGATCCCACAGATGCAGGAACAGTCTATGTGAGATAATAAGCAGGACTTGGGAAAGTATCTTATTAATCTTTCAAACCTATTAACTATCTCTTTAAACTGTAATTGCATCGCTCTTAATTGCTTTATTAGTTCCTAAGTTTCATTATTCATCTTGTCTCATTTCTATTCAAACCAGTTATGGTTGTTTTTTCTTTTTCCTTTTTTCTTCAAGGGGAAAGGAACTCTTGCTGTTTCTAGATTCCAGAGAAAGGGGAGATGATGTGTTGACTCCACACAGCAGGCCTTCCTGGAGCAACTCCCACTGGTGCCAGGACCATGTCAAGGGCCCTGGTGATACGCTGGGTTTGTTCTCTCCCTCTGCTAGCCTGGTGTCTCCTGACCCCAGTCTCCTTCTCACAGTGATAGTCACTGCGCTGGTCAGAGAGAGATGTGCTCAGGAGTTCATCAATGACCTGCCCACAAACCTTGGTGATACCTTGAGAGGGGCCCATGTGCCCAGCTCCAGAATCTTCCCCAGCCTCTGAACTGGTGCTGCCTGCCTCAGCTTCCTGGCTGGCTCTGGGCAGCTGTCTCCTGTGAGCTATAGCCCCAGCCCAGCAGTCTTCCTCCAGCTCTCCTGCAGACTGAAGCTAACATCTTCACCACCCACTCACTGTACAGACATTTCCTATGCTGCCATCAAAACTGGTGGGGGAGGGGAAACGCCCCAGCAGTCACAAGAAATAAAGTGAAAACTCGGAATGTTAGCACAGCTTCCTTGGATCTAAAGTCATCAAGACAGGAAACTGTTCTTAGTAATGATTAACAAGCATAAACCCTGAAACCTAAGCCCATTTTAAAACACAGTCATGACAGTGCTAGCGTTTCATTGTTTTCAATAAAATAAAAGCTTACAGAAAAAACATCTAAGCATCTGGCAATGCCTGATTACTAAAGCTGGCAAAACGGCAAGGAGCCTGGTATGGGGTGGTGCTTAGAAGACATATGTAGCATCTACACCCTGTGTTCCCCAAGGGCGATAGCACTGGCTCTCCTCACCCCACTGTTCCACCCACCCCTCCTCCCTTGTCTATGGCCCAGGAGGTGCTGACTGGCAAAGGGAGTCCTGCCATCCACGGCTCCATCCCTGATGCCTCAGCTCCCACCTGGATGAATAGGCCACAGTCACCGAATGCATGTCATTGTGGGGAGTGAAGTACACACTGAGTACTCTCAAGCAATGTCCCGGGTGTTTCCCAGACAATGAGGTGGCAGTTGCCTCTTGACCGCTGATTAGCGTGTTCAATTAGCCCCAAATAGCAAAGCACAGGCAGACAATGGGAACCTCCTGAAGCCCCCTCACTCTGCACCACAGTTTCACAGCCAAGCAACACATTTGTTGTCTGCATTAAACTTTAAATGCCCTTGCACATCATAACTTGCCAGCATTCCAGTTTGCTCACAACACAATCTTCAAAAGGAAATAAGAGACTTGGAGTTACACTCCACGGTCCTCAGGAAGTCCACGAGCTACATCCTCCTGAGCCTGTAATCTGTGGTCTGTTGAGCCCCTGAAATACACCCTCAGGAAAATGGTTCACAGAGAACCTGCTGGTTCATTGCTATTGTTTAGAATATAATAGATGCCTGCCTTGAACGAGCCAAATGAAATTAGAGTAAGGCTTCCCTCTGAGGAATTTATAACATACCCTCCCTGTATGGAACCCAATTTCTCTAGAAAGGAAGCCTTTCCCTCACAGCAGTGAGGGGAAAACATGCTGTGTTAACTTTCAAACTCAGAAGCAGATTTCTTGACCTATTTCCACTCTTCATGTTGGAACTTCATGGCACTAGACACAGCTAGACAAAGATTATACAGGGAGATATTTAGACGTGAAACATCCAACACGTTCTATACTTTAAAAGGCAAGAAAAATTCTTCATTTTAAAAGCTCCTCGGGCCATGGGAGTTGGGCTGGCAGTTGAGAGTACATGCTGCCCTTAGAGAGAACCAGAGTTGGGTTTCCAGCACTCTGACTGGGTGGCTTACAACTGCTTGTAACTCCATCTCCAAAGAGTCTGATGCCCTCTCCTGGCATCTGAGGAAACTGCACGCACAGGAGAAACCCCAACACAGACACACATGCCTACTACATTTTTAAAAACAAAACTAAGGCCAGGTGTGGTGCTTCATGCCTTTCATACCAGCACTTGGGAGACAGAAGCAGGCAGATCTCTGTAAGCTTGAGGCTAGTCTGGACTATACAGTGAGTTCCAAGGCTACATAGTGACACCCTATCCCAAAAAAAAATTTTTTTTTAACCAGCCACCTGTATTAAGGTCATTAAGGTGAAGCAGTTGCAATGTTCCTCCAGCATTCTCTAGAACAAGCATGGTGCTTCACCTGCAGTTATGATTGGAATGATTATTTTTCCCTATATAAGGTAACTTTTTATTATCACATGTTCACTGCCAAAGGTGAAACTTTTGGGACTCAGCTTCTGGCCATCAAATTTCCTTTACTGGAGCCATAAATCCTTCACTTTGGAAAAACTTTCAGATTGTCTTCTCAAATCCAAGGAGGCTCAGTAAAGAATTTCTCGATTCTAGCAAACAGCAGCCAACCATACAGAATATCAAACTGTAACAAGCTGCCGGGACAAGGGAAAGACTATGTGTTGTTTTTCAGTATCATCTACCAGAAATGTTAAGCAAACAGGTAATTTCTCCAGTAACTATCTGTCCCCCAAACAATATGGACACAGTAAGTGTCAGTGTTACCATCCTGCAGCTATCCCTAAGTTGTGTCTGGAGCTCTCTACTTACTACAGATTTTAAATTCTACTTCCTATCATCCAGTCAAGGTAACCATCAAGAAGTGATTTGTACTACCCCATATTCATATTACCAAAAACAGCTTGCACAAAAGCTGGGTGTTCTTATTGTCATATTTATAGATTCATGTCTAGATTCCCATAAGAAGTACTGGGGATAGGTGTGTGTGGTGGCACATAGCTATAACCCCAGCACTAAGGAAGCTGAGGCACAAAGGTCACAGGCCTCCAGAACTGTGGGACAGGATCTGCCATTTATGAGCGACTGAGCTGTTGCTATTTCGTGATAACAGCCCAAATGAGCTAACACATCACAATGCCCAACCTTATTGCTCCACACGAGGTTACAAAATGAGCCATAAGCCACAACTACGCTGACAGTACCCCAGAATCTGTCTCCGGAAGCCAACTCCTTTCCTTTCTCTAATGCACTGTGACATCCCAGAAAGCTCACACTTGAGCAAGCTAAAACGGGCCGTTTAAGCCACACTCTCCTCACCTTCTGTGCTGTGGGAATACACTGAAGGTTCTCAGAAAGCAGGGCTCTCACCACAATGTGGCAAGGCAGTGTTAAAGTGACAGCTGGGTGCTGCCAAGTCCTGGGGGCCCCACCACTTGGCAAGGATCCAGCCAAATGTACCTTTTCAGGAAGGTACCTAGTTCATGATTCATTAACCTCTGCTTCTGTGGCCCTGCCTTGTGCTATTCCTGCTATCCAGGGAAAGTCAAGGTTCACAGGCAAACTGATATTTTATCCAAATTCAGTCATATCACTTCAAAGCTCTGGAGAGAGCTGAGCTCCAAAACCCTGAGACAGAGGGGAAGGTAGTCAGCCACAGGGAAGGCACGTTAATGACACTTTCCTAACAGGCTTCGTCCTGTGATCCTGAGACCTGGAGACACAAGGCAGACATTTGCAGGGCATGTGGCTCCAAATACAGCAGAGGTAACGCTCAGTCTGTGAGCAGGCCAGCAATCCCCACCAATGCAGTTCTCCTGAGCTATGACAATTGATAGAACTGTGGACTTGACGCCCTCTGTGGCTCCAAGTGGCGCCTGGCTGAGAACACGGACAGCGCTCACTCAGCCTGGCTGGCTTTGTCACCCTTCCATTGCTCCGCCCACCTTTGACAGAATTTATTTTCTAAGAGTTTGATATAAAATTGCTTGTCTATAATTCTTTTGCTTCAGCTTCAACTAAGCTTTGGAATTTAGCCCTTACTGTCCAACGTCTTTCTAGCAGACACACTCTTGTCCAAACCTGCCCTCTGTGTCACCAGAGTTTGCAGGGACATTGTCTCTGTGTCTAAGCCAGGTCCCAGCTCTCTGGCTGGATAACAGGCTCCTATGAAGCATCGAAGCTGAGAGACTCGCAGCTAATGACATCCCGTTTTCTTCTTGCTTTGGTGTTTCACTTTCATCTCAGGACACCACCCTCTTGAGATGCCCCGCAGCTCTTCTTTGCATCAGCCTCCCTGCCCTGCCCTGCTCTTCACTGAGCTCTCCGAATTGCCCCCTCAGCTCTTCTCATTTAGACCCTCATCTTCTCCTGCACCACTGAAAAGGTAATCCCCATGGATGAATCCACCTGTCAGGATCCTGTCGCTTGCTTCCATACTCACAAAGCCCTCTAAGAGCCATGTTACATAACTTCCTGAAGGCAGGATCAATTCCTATACTCCTGTACCTCTGCCAGCGGTTTTCACACCTGCCTTCACAGTCAATAGCAAGCTAGTGCTCTCCTGAAGACAAGGCTCCCCTTGGCTTATGTTTGTCTTCCCGTGTTAAACTGTTTCTTTTGAGAGACACACTGACAGGATACTCACAAATATGCACATGTGCACATGTATGTCTATATTTTCAGATAGACACACATCTCACTAAAATGGCTGCTTATGGGTCATTGCTTTAAATTTCCAGGTCATTCCATTCTACCCTCCAGGTCCAATCTGCCACAAACAACAAGGTAATTTAAAAAAAAAAAGATATAGTTACTTCTTCTGTGGCATCTTCTGGGGTGGGCTCTATGTCCAGGCTGAGTTCCTCCTCGGCGTTCTGACAACAGAGACAAGGGTTAATAGGGTTAGCACCTTGAGATTTGTATCAGTACTTCAGATGCGTAAGCAGCATGATTATAACTGGCTTGGTAGGTGATGGGTCTGTTCCATGGCTCCCTTGCAGCTAGACAGACCAGTGACTGTGGAACGCCTTGTACTGGAGACAGGTGTTTTACACGCAGGCCGTGGGTATTCATGTCTAAAGTCTCAAACTGCTGAATCAGTGAAGAGTGTATAACTTCCAGCACAATCCAAAGGAGAAGACATTTACACAGCCTCTAGCCAGCAAGAGACAGGAGGCACAAGCTTACACGAAGCTCAAACATCAGTACAGTGAGGATGGACGTGGACCAATAGCAAAGATCTGCAATCATTCCTATTTGAATGGGATCAAATCAGTCTCAGGCTAATTCTAGAAGAGAAACTAGATTTTTGCGGTTTGGTTTTTTTCAGTAATTGTCTTATAAAAACTCTTGCACCCTGGAATTAGCTATATAAACAGGTATGGTCTCACAGCAGTCTTCCTACCTCTGCCTCCTGGGCTTGGGGATTACAGTTAGATCACAGATAGTAAAGTTCTGGGCTCACAACGGCATAAAACAGCATCTGTGTAGCTCAGGGCTCAAGTGGGAGGGACAGGGCAACATCTTTGCTTACTATGCAATAGCATGGAAAACTGTTCAGATGGCCTCAGTTTCCCCACAGTAACATCAGAAAGGTGGCAGCCCCAACCGCCTTGAGATTCCGGGAGAACTCAGTGAAACAGGCCCACCTATCAGGAGCTCTGGTGTGCTCTGATGCTCCAGGTTAGCTGCTGACAATGCCATGGTTGCCAAGCCAGTACCCATGCTCCGTGAGAAATCACACTAGCATGACTCTGAGTCACCAGGAAATCATGGTTGATGTGTAGTGTTTGAAAATCAGAACTTTGCTTTCCCTAATGCACTGTGACATCTCAGAAAACTCACACTTGCTCCTGCAAAAATAAGATTCAAATGAGTCAGCTAAACTTTAGAGGTGGCTTCACACACTGGCTCTCTCGTCACTTCTTATTTTCTCTCCAGAGCATGACTGTGGCCAGTGAAACCCTGTCGAGAGGGGCAACCTGGGGTCCTGCTTCTGGTATGTGCCTTTAGCCAGTGAATACAACTCACAGAACACCACTGCTTCCTCTTCACACTAGATTCTTCAGGGGTTCTCTGGAACCTCCAGTTTTTAATTAGCATTTTTTTTACCCCATTCATGGGTAAAATACTATCCAAAATATCCAAAAGCCAATTCATAGTACCACAGTTAGTCTCCTTTGATAATCAATGGGTTCCTCCTATTCTATGCACTGAAGCAATACTGGTTTTTATGAAGCATATACCATGTTCTGCTTCAGTGGGCCTCAGATTCCAAGGTTTCTTAGAACTGTGGATGAGAGAACAACTGATGGAGAGGGAAGTAAAGCATAGCAATGTTAGTGTGAAGTGTTCCTGGGAACACTGGTTTCTAGCCAGTTCAATGTGTTCCACAGATGCAAGGAAGTCAGGTGCCATGCGAGTTCCACCCGGCTCTGCCCACCTTCTTGATCTGTGAGTTATTTTGGCAGCATAGAACATAGAACATCAGCAAAATAAGATAATAAAGTCAGCTTCAATGCACCGAGTCCCAGGAATTTCACACTTGAGGCCACAGACAGTTCCTCGGAGCTGCAAATGTTACACTGTCAGCATCTCAGTTTTGCTCCTTCTGTGGAAACAGTTTTCCCTGGTTCCTGATTACTGACAATGTGGTGCCCCATCCTAACTTTGCATACTCCACATGTTTGCTGTTCTGAAAAACTCACCCAGAAAGCCTGAGGAAAAGTCTTCTTTTGAGACTATTCAGCACACTGGGTCTCCTCATATTATCAGACACATTAATCAAAGAAACTCACAATCCTCTATCTTGCTGGGCAGCAGGGCAGGGCAGGTGCCATCAACTCTGCTTCAAGATTTTGCATTTGCAAGAGTTTTCTTGGGTCATGGCACATTTTTATAATGGTCTGAGTCTGCCTGAGGCTAGTCTATTTCTAATCGACATCAGAAATATTTTAAACACAAGCTGCTCTTGGGAGTCTCTGTTGTGGTGACCATGCCAGACCCAGGATTCCAGCAGCACTAACATTTCTTTCATCCCTGCCTCTCCCCATCAGCCCCATTTCTGTGTCCCCTCCCCATAAAGAGCACTACCTTCAAGAAGCAGCTGGACATCAGACCACAGACAATAGGGTCAGCTACAGGAAATAAGAGAATGTCTGCTCTCATCATTTGTTCATTCATTAGTTGAATTTTTAGAAGACTCAAATAGCTTTTAGGAAAAAAAATATAAAAAGACTTGAGTTCTCAGCTACGGAATGAGTAGCTTTGCCTTCGACTCCAAAGCAGCATCAAGTGCCAGTAAGGTCATCAACAGAGGCAGTGCCAAGTGTCATTCTCGCTCACCAAGGCAACTCCCTTGCGCCAACACCCTTGCTTTAGCTACAAGATACATTATCTGTGAAAGGCTCTATTCCTATGTATAACCAACACTTATTCTAAGCACTTAAAAATGTTATGCTAGTTAGTCTCTGTCTTTTTGTCTGTTGGTCTCTCTGTCTCTGTGTATCTCTATCTATCTCTTTCTCTCTGTCTTTCTGTCTGTCTCTGCCTTTGTCCCTCTGTGCATGTGTGTGTGTGTGTGTGTGTGTGTGTGTGTGTGTGTGTGCGTGTGTGAGTGTGTATACACACGTATATAGAGGTCAGAAGGCAACTTTCAGGGGCCAGTTATTTTCTATTACCATGTAAGTTTAGGAGCTCAGCTTGACAGCAAGCATCTTCATCCACTGAGTAATTTTGCGAGCCCTAGTCCAGTATTTTAATGGGAATTGACCTGCCTAGAAAGTCTTCAATATAAAATACCAAATAAACTGTCTTCTGAAACAGAATCTCTCATTCAGTTAAAAAATTATTCATGTGGCTGTCTCCATGTCGTCATAAAATGCAAAGCAGTCAGCATGGAATTTGAAAGTGTAATGTTAGATGAGGCAGAAACTAAACCTCGGATTTTGATATTTAGGAGCCTATAAAAATTAATCATTTTCAACTGCAATTTCAGTTGCTCTTAACAAAACACAGCTATGTCTAGAAATGCAGTCAGTCTTAACAACTTTGGAAAACTTTCTTCTCAGAAAAATATCTGGTGGTCATGTAGAACCCAAATGGAGCAAATGAAATTCCTGGCCACAGAGGTTGCCACATCCCCTGGGAAAAAAGTGTCAGCAGCGTCTCCACCACCATCGTCCCAACACTAAGACACTGGCAGTTCTCATCTCATCTCTCATCTCTAGTGGCCCCTCCAGCTGAACACATGGCTGTCTTCATGTATTCGTGTCTCATCTTTCTGTTCCTTCTAGCGGGCTGGTCTCTAGCAAATGGAGATCTAGACCATGAGCCACTTGTTGAAAGCAAAGCAAACTGGTGCCAACTAGTTGACAAAAGCAGTACTTCAGAGTACAAGACACTGCATGAAGCATGCTGAAGGGTGGCTTTTGGCAGAAGCGCTCATCTCCTGTTCATTCCATGCACACGCCAGTACCATGCACTGCCAAAGGCACACGAATGTAAACGCGTGCGTGGTCACATTTGTAAAACGTGAATACAGAACATCTGCATCTCTGCCACGCCAACGGCCCCTTGATAATTGTGAATTCTTTCCACTGAGTCCAAGACCATTTGCCACAGGCCAAAGGGCACTGTGAGAAAGTGCCTGCCGCCCTCTTCCGTACTCACCTCTACCTCCATGGGTTCCACCTCGATCTTCTTCCATAGTTCCATCAACTGTGCGATCGGCATTTTGTTAAACTTTCTCTTTCTTCCAATCTAGTGTTGATAGTAAGAAAGAAGACGAGCACAGGCACCAAGCAGCCGGAGAGTCGGCCTGACGGGATGCCAGGGGCTGGGGCAGCAGGCCAGGCTGGCGTGGAGAGTAGGAAAGACACCAGGTCGATCGCCCGAGCTGGGGAGGGTCCTGAGGTCTGCAGTGTGGCTGCTTAGCCTCGTCAGCAGGCTGCAGCACAGCGAGCAAGGAGGACTGCAGCTGGAGCTGCGGCTGAGTGTCTGTGCCTGTGCGTCTGACAGAGTAAAGCCTTGCTTGCAGCTTCCAAGTGCTTCCCTGCCTCCCGGTTACGTTGCCACTCTGCTCCCTCCCCTCACTATTTTACCTTAATTGGCTCTAAATGAGGGTGAAAGTTGAGTCTGAGGATGCTGCTGCCATAGAAACCGCTTAGCAACGGAGGGCCAGGAAGGGAGAAGGAGGGACTGGAGCTCAGGCTCTGCCCTTCCCCTCCCCACCTCTGCGACACTGCCTGGGACACACACCACCAACCCTGTTAGGAGTTCTGCTGAGGCCAGAGGCCAGATGCAACAGAGACAACCCTCCACATGAGGGTTTCAGATACCGCGCTTTAGGGATTGCGCTGCTTCCTGCAGTAGCTTGGTGCAGCGACTCCCTGCTGTCCCCAACCAACTACCTTGTTCAGGGATTGGGCTGGTGACAGCCAGGGGAAAGGAGTAAACACACAAGCCAAAGGGACCAGGCAGGATGGGTACCTCAGGATCCAATCTTTGACCACACTTTTCCTGCCCTAACCAGGAGAACAGGACTAGATGCAGGGATGTTCAAGTAAGGCATTCCTGTCCTCTCTACAGGAGAGAGCAGAGCCTGGGCTGTCTGAACCCCAGCAGGATCTATGGAGGACAGGACAGGGATGTTGAGGGGCCAGAACAGCTGTTACTCTAAACACTCCCCATGCACCAGGAACATTATCTCATTTTATTTTTCTACTCAACGTGGGTATTTCACTCCCATTTCACAGATGAAAAAGTTCCGTGGCTCAAAGACAAGCAAAGTACCTATGAACATGCATGACATCAAAGAAAGGAAACCCTGATTTATCTTCCTTAGGCGAGAAACTTAGCTTCCCTGAGGAGGGAGTGTGTTTTAGGGAGTACCTCCTGCCCTTGATTCCTTGTGGGAGCATCTTTGGTCTCTTCCACCTCTATCTTGGAATAGGAAACACATGCAAGAGAAGATGCACTCTTCTCTCACTACTGAGCCTGGACTGATTTGGTTCCTTCTCCTGGGAAATAGTGTTCAAGACAAACGCAGTTTAACCTTGCTCTGAGAGCAAGCGTTTTCATTTCTGTGTGCCCTTATCTTTGAGACAATGGCTCTAAGGCAATGGCTTACTGGTTCAGAACATTATCATGTCCTTTTCATCTTTATAAAATCACCAAGAAATGCAACTTATCAGGAATGAAAGAGGCCCAATTCTTGCATACTTCACATTTTGCAACAAAATCCTGCACCTGACGTTAACAGAGGGGTCAAGACTCAGCGTGGATATACAATAGTCACTTCATACTCCATCTTTTTACAAAATGAGGCCAGCAGGGACCTTAAAAATTAATTCTACTCAGGATAAAAATAACAGAGATGTTGCTCAGTCTTCCACTGGACACCTACTGACTGACAGAGCAGAGTGAGGGCGTCTCGTGTGCTGACCATGATAAAGCCATTTGAGACACAATGTAAAAGGTCATGGGCTGACAACAGACAAAATGAAGTGGATTTTCTCTGTAATAAAGCCAGGGTAACCACTCCACAAAAAGACTTCTGAAAAGATGTGAAAAACACTTCATCTGACTACTGAAGACCTGAAACTTCTACAGGCATTGAAAGGAGACACAATAGTTTTCTTGCTGTGTTTTTGTAACCCTCTTCCCCCCATTTCTAGAATATTCTACAGATGTCCCCGTATGGAAAGATGGAGGTAAATATTAGTTCTTCTTTTTGAGAGAGGAATGAGAAAGAAAGAGGTTTAGATAGGGTCTCTCAGGGTGAGCCACGTTTCCTGGGAGACTAGAGTGAACCCAAGTTTCAGGGAAGCCCTGGGTTAAAATCCTTGCCATAACTGTCTGTGAGCAAACCCCAAAGCTGATAACTGTAAGGAGTGTGTTGGGCATTGCCACATAAATGGCTCATAATCAGCATTAGGTCCCTTCCTGGCCTCTGCTACGAGAGCTGAACCCCACTCTGCCATCTTCCAGGTGAAGCAGAGAAGCCTGAAGAAACAGTATGGGAGGAGGGTGAGGCTCCAAGTGAGCCATGGGAGCAGGGCTCAGTTCACTCTGCTCTGTTCCCTTTGGAACATATAGCTGGTTGTTCAAAGCAAACAACTTGGGCACTCAGGGAATGCAGCAAGCTTGCTGGACCGGAAAGGTAGAGGATTGGAAAACAGGCCATCTAGGACCTAAGAATGAAGTAAAATGGAAAAGGAAACTTACAAAAGAAAAATTAATACTCCAGAAAAATGTTAGCCCCAATTATAAAGCTTTTGTTACACAGAAAAGACAGATAAAAGTAAAGAAGGAGTGGACTTTTCTGGGGAAAATAATTACATCTAAGTTCCAGAGAGGATAAAGATGGCTGTAAAGAACCAAATTATTTTGGGTGAGTATTCAACTAAGTCCCAAGAAAACTCAAATGACTTGTTCAACAGGAGTGACACCTCCAAAATCTAGCTCCCAAGAAACCTCCCCGGTAGATATGAACACTCTTCAACGGATTCAACTCTGCAGAGTAAGGATGATGGGAAGCACTGTGGGAGTCCCTAGCCACAGGATCATGGTGATGTGAGACAGACAAATGGGCGTCTAACCCAGAGAATCCAGCCCCACAAACTCTCCGTACAAATGAGAATAAGAGTACAATGTACTCTTACCCCTTTCGTCTGAGAACGTGTTTGTTTTCTCACAGAAAGGAAGGAAGGAAGGAAAGGGGAGCCTGCCCACCTTAGCTTCCCATAACATGGGGAAGTGGCTCTTCCCTGCTGTGGAGAGGTGCTGGAGCTTGTGGTGTCTCACTGCTGGCACTCACTGCTGTCCTACGTAGTTCAGCTTTCCCAGCAATGATGAAGCAGCAGGCTGCATGAGCGGAGGAATAAGGCCTCAGCTAAATCTAAACCACCTGGTGTTTGAAATAATGAGATGCTTTTGGGCTCCGTTCTGTCTTTGACAACCATTTTCAAATGACTCAGGCTCTATCCTGTCCTTGTCCACCTTGCAGTTGAAGTACATAAAGACAAATTGCTCAGTTCTAGTGCGGTGGTCTCTAGTTTCACATTCTAGGGTTTCTCTCTCTTTTGTCTCTTTATCTCTCTTCTCCCCCCCCACACACACATATACACAGACAGCTTAGAACCAAATTCATTTCAACAAAAAGGCAAGCTACTTCTTGGTATTGGCTGAGTTCTGTGCCCTCAAGTGCATGCACTGAGGTCTTGATGTCCTGCCTTTATCCATTCATATGTAGAGTGTGGATCCATGCAGAAGCCACAGTGGTGTGGGGGTCACCTTCCTAATAACTGGAACCTTTTAGGGGGATTTTTATGCAGACACACACACAGCATTCGAAGAGCACCATGTGGAGCTGAAGTCTTTCCACCAAAGTTCAAGGAACTGCACATTTTCCAGGAAACTAATGGAGGCCCGGGCAAGCTCCTGCTTTAGATTCCTGCAGGGAAGGGCACCATACTGCCACACTTTGACCTTGGACTTCTGTCCTCCAGACTGTGAGAGAAAACACGTCTAAGCTGATGCTGTGTTGCTGTGGCACAGGAGCAGAGTGATGCATCCCCTGGGGACTAGAGAGAATGGAACAATGAACCAGACAGTGCAGTATGGCCATTCCATGGAATTCTGTACCAAGAAGCATGAAGATCCTGCACTGCCCTCCCCTGCACAAGCGCCACCCAGGCATGGAGACATGATGGCTACCGGCAGCGGTGAAATCACAAGGCAGCTTGCAGAGGCTTCCAGATTCACTTCAACTATTGGCAGTCTTCAGTGGGTCCAGGAAGATACCAAGGCACTGGACCCCAGATGCCCTCACAGGCTGCTGTCAGAGCCCCCTCTCCAGCACAGCGGCATCATGACGTGCCTTACAACAGCCACGGGCTTTACAACAGCCACAGGCTTTTTTTCCCCCCTAAGAAATTACTCACTAGGAAACAAATTTAAAGGCTGAGCAGAGAGAGTAAACACCTTCTCTTTACTGTGAAAAGCAAAGCATAAGCTCGGCGAAATTTTTTAAAGAAGGAACTTGCCATCTTCCCAACTGATCCTTTCATCTCATCAGTGAGAAGAGTCATGGTAACCCAGCCTGCCTGAATAGGACACCTGGGTTTTTCCACCGGCTGCAGAGACTCCTCCTCCGAGTAGCAGCACAGCTCTGTGCCAGCGCTGGCGGTTCCGGTAATACAAATGTGTGCACATGGGAGCACGGAAGGAAGTGGGAATGATGCCATGCTACCTTCCCGCTTCGAGACACCATCTTTCTGCCTCCATATATTTTCCAGAAATTAGTGCAGGCTCATGACATCCATGCCATCTGGGTTGCCAGCCTTCTGTTTGGAGTCCGACCTCACTGGCCCTGGAAAGACCAACACCAAAGCTATACTCTTTCTTGATATAGTGCCTTTGGCAGTGACTGCCCTCTACGCAACTGCTAGGGCTTATTTAATTATCCTCTAGCTAAACATTTATCTCAGCCTTCAGGATTCTGATCATACAGCAGCTAGAACCTGTGAACAAGCCATCTTCAGGAAGACGGGGCTTTTGTAGTCCCCTGGGGCCATGCCGAGGGATGCTATCCCCTTCAGACACACACAGCTGCTGAGATGCAGGCAAGCAAATGCGGCTTCAGCAAGCGCTTCATATCAAAATGAATAGAGTTGTAGACTTTAAGATGTGTTCTCTTCTGAACCATATGTTGGCATGATACCTATGATCAAATATGAGAAAGCAAAATTATGTATGTATATTGTTTTAAAATGTGTTGTTTAAAGTAGCTGAGAAGTGAAGGGTGTCATGAGCCAGCCTCAACCCACAGCATAAAGTGTTTTATTAATCCTTGCTGCATTTTTATAATTGTTGAGTATCTTTATTACAAGAGAAGTGCTCAGCAGTCATTAAGGACAGAATGGAAGAAGAGTCTGGGGAGGCAGTTCAGTTGTAGAGCACTTAGCTAAGATGCACAGCCCCCAACAAAAAAATGGTTGAAGAGGCCAAGAAACAAATACACGAAATTGACTAAAGAGAATACAAAGCAAATCGAAGG